GGTCACCTGGATCCAAAGCAGAAGCATCCTGACAGAAAAGCATGGCAGAGAAAACCTGCTTAAGAAGAAAGGAGAGAGAGAAAAAATCGAGGGAGGGGAAGAGAGAGAGAGAGAGAGAGAGAGAGAGGCAGACAGACAAAGATAGACAAAGAGGAAGGCAGAGGCAGATGCAGAGTGTCTTAAAATATGTATCTCAGATATTCTATTGTTTTTTAGTTGCTGGGAATCAGTGCACAAGGAGTCCAGAGTGCATGTGCACACACATGTGTGCACCAGTAGCTGTTTTTAGATATGTGACTATGTGTTTGATGTGTGAACATATGGATGACAACCTGGGGAGATGTGCTCTCAGAGCCGTGAGCATAGGGTGTGGAGGAGTGCATTAGCAGATGTAGGATAAGAAGTATGTGTGCACTGTTGTATGCAGGGCACTCAGAAGTTCTGGAAGCCACACGCCTCAGCCCCATCCTTCTCCCGCTTCTTGAGATCAGGAGAAGCATAACCCATGGGTGATATTTCTAGGCGGAGGCCCATTGCTGCTGTAATGATGGGGACCAATCTCCAAGCAGCAGAGGGCAGTAGGGACAAGGGGAGGCTGATTGCCATGGGTGGGGCCAGCGAGCGGGCAGAAGGAAGCTTTTAAAGCGCCTGCCCCACCTGCAGGTGAGCACTGGAGTGTGAGATTCTGCCTGCCTTGCCGGTTCACAGAGTGGAAGCTCCCTGGAGTTGTTCTGTTTTCTTCTGAAGCCTCAGCAGGATCCCTCTCAGAACTAGCTGCCGAGAGGTCTGAACAGGTGATGGTATAGGATAGAGATTATCTTGTGAAGTGATATTAATTTTGAAATTCGTGAAGATCTGGAAGAGCCATGGGGAGGGTCCTGGAAAGGTCTGGATTTGGTCTGGAGAGGAGCCTTGAACATACAGGTGTTAAGTAAGGGTATATGAAGTGACCTACCTGCAGTGTGGGAGTAAGGCTTGGGGTGCTCGTGCAGGAGTCAGGGGTGTTAGGATCCCAGAGACGCCAGTTCTGGCAGAAGGTCTGGTACATAGTATAGGTGGGTACAGATGTCAGAATGGGAACTTCGTAAAATCCTGAGGAGTCCAGAGTTCAGGTGCAGAGAAAGCTTGGTGAGATACGGGTCCAGGATGTTGGGGTCTGGTGTGTTGGGGCGTAGAAGGCAGGGCCAGCCCAGGTGGGGTGGGGGACATGATACCCTAACTTGCACATCTGCCCCTAGGAGCCACCATGCAGTGCTTCAGCTTCATTAAGAACATGATGGTCTTCTTCAATACGCTCATCTTTGTAAGTATGGAAGTTGTGTGCCCTGTGGGCTCCCTACAGGAGCAGGTCACCATTTGAACAGAGCCTAAGCTGGGGAATGGGAGACTACTGTGCCCAGACTTTGCCTTGCAAGTTTCCCTTATGAGAGGTCTCCCTTCAAATGCTGATTCCTGGATCCGGTAGAAGTGGGGCTGCCACAAGGGGGAGGGGGGCTGTTTAAGAAGGGAATGGAGAAGTTTTAGGACACCCCCTTCCTTCTAGGAAGCTTCAGCTCAGGTGTAGGGCAGGGCAAGATAGGCTAGCAGGAGTGATTCTCCCCTTTTTATAGGCATAGGGGGTTCTGAGAGGGGAAGGGATTCACCTAAATTTTTCTAACATGGAAAGCAATTTCAG